AGGTGGACGTCTCTGTTTTAAGGTGGACGTCTCTGTTTTAAGGTGGACGTCTCTGTTTTCAGGTGGACGTCTCTGTTTTCAGGTGGCCGTCTCTGTTTTCAGGTGGCCGTCTCTGTTTTCAGGTGGCCGTCTCTGTTTTAAGGCGGCCGTCTCTGTTTTAAGGCGGACGTCTCTGTTTTAAGGCGGACGTCTCTGTTTTAAGGCGGACGTCTCTGTTTTAAGGCGGACGTCTCTGTTTTAAGGTGGCCGTCTCAGACTTAATGTAAGTTTAGTGATTTGATAACTGATTATTTCTCTTTCTCTCTTCATAAAACAAATATAAAGATCAGAGAATAAGTGAAATGACTCTAGATATGAAAAGGTTTACAACATAAACTTGAAAGTAAAGAAGACAAAGTAAATAAAACTTTCGCAAGACATGTTGACAGTGTGGCTGCTACTGCCCGAAGACCTTGCAATATATATATACACGCTGATATTACCAGCTGTATCCTTGAGGTTCAATCGAGATATCGCTTCTCTCTGTTCTGCATTTCAGGCTTAAAAACAACAATCTTAAACGTTTCAAAACACCAAAAACTGAAAGTAACATCTACGTGTGTTTCATCACTTTTGGATGGCTGATGGTAAAGTTGGTTTTTGACTAAATGTTTATTGGGTCTTTTATTTGTTGTTTCATTGAGGATTGGTGGATTGATATTTTAGTTATCCATGTTAATTGTGTGTTTTGTATTGTTGGTTAATTTACCTTCAAATCAAAGATTTTCACTGTATTGGTCTTTCAAGAAACATTTGTGTCACTAAAACTCCAATCTGTGACAAATCATGAGCTGTCATCAAAGCTACATAACTCTGACTTCATATCAGAGACTGAATATAAATGGACAATAATCACTGACGTCACTCATTGCTTTGTGGACTACCGTTCTGAGGCCTCAAGTTCAATATTTTGGCCGTCGCCATCTTGCTTTTTTGCAACCAGAAGAGAGACGAGAGGGTGGAGCTAAATACAACCGTCGCTGAATAATATTTTTTGGACCAAAATATTACAATTAAAGAAACGGTGTGTTACATCCTTAAGGGGGTCTGTTGGGAATATAACATCTTTAAGTTGAAACTAATCACAATAATGTCTGTGGAGTATCTTCAGTAACCGGCTCATGATGTCTGGAGAGAGACAGTGATGTTGACTTTTTCAAATGTTTTGGAGCTTTGAGCGCCACAAGCCGAGTGCCATACAGTCCCATTATATTTCAGAGAAGGCAGACGTCTGTAGGGCCGACACCTCCAACACTCAGCAAGTCACTAAACAATCTACACTGATGAATATCACTACACGGGTAAAAGTATGTACTTTTGATTTTGGGGTGAACTGATCCTTAAGAAAAAGTAGTAAAACCACAGAGTATAAATACTCTGCTACAAGATAACGTCCTGCATTCAAAGTACAAAACTGTGAGCATCAAAATATACTGAAAGTCCCCAAAGTATACTCATTATGTAGAATAATCCATTTCAGAATCATATCTATTCAATTCAATTCAATTCAATTTATTTTTGTATAGCCCAAAATCACAAATTACAAATTTGCCACAGAGGGCTTTACAATATGTACACATTTGATATCCTCTTGTCCCGGGACCCTCACATTGGAACAGGAAAAACTCCCCCAAAAAAAACACTTTAACGGGGAGAAAAGAGGAAGAAACCTGTGGGAGAGCAATAGAGGAGGGATCCCTCTCCCAGGATGGACAGAAGTGCAATAGATGTCATGTGTGGAACAGGATAGTGAATTACAACACATTCAATGTAATTACAGCACATTCAATGTATGACAGAACCACGGCAGGAGGCAAGACCTGGTCCAGGTATAACCCGGATACACAGGAACCTGTGACGCGAGAAAGCACAGAGACTCTGGTGAAGAAGCAGGTCAATAATTTGCATTAATGGTATCGGTAATATGAAATAGTAATGCGAGTAATAATAAAAGTGATATTAGCAGTTGGAGTCAGCGGGGCCATGGTAGGAGGAAGGACCAGGGTCCAGATGAAACCATGCTCCATGGAAACCTGTGAGGAGAGAAAGCACAAGGACTCCGGAGAAGAGACAAAATCAGTACTGTGCATTAATGGTATCGGTAATGGGGTTAATAATGAAGATCGTAGTAGGTCTCAGCAGGGCCATGGATGGTTGAAGGACTAGTGTCCAGATAAAACTGCGGTCCTGGGAACCTGTGAGGCGAGAAAGCACAAATACCCCGGGGAAGAAGTAAAGTTAGTAATGAGCATTAATGGGACATCAATGCATACAGACAGAGGTGAAGAAGAGGAGGAGAGAGGTGCTCAGTGTATCCTAAGGAAGTCCCCCTGTAGTTTTTGCCTATACCAGTTTGTCTAAGGGCCGGTCCAAGGCAAGCCAGAGCCAGCCCTAACTATAAGCACTATCAAAAAGGAAAGTCTTAAGCCTACTCTTTAATGTGGCGAGTGTGTCTGCCCCCCGGACTGAAACGGGAAGCTGGTTCCACAAAAGATGAGCTTGATAACTGAAGGCTCTGGCTCCCATCCTACTTTTTAAGACTCGAGGAACCACAAGTAACCCTGAATTAATGGAGCGCAGCTCTCTAGTAGGGCAGTATGGTACTATAAGCTCTTTAAGATATGATGGTGCCTGACCAATTCGGGCTTTGTAGGTAAGTAAAAGGATTTTAAATTCTATTCTAGATGTTACAGGGAGCCAGTGCAGAGAAGCTAATACAGGAGTAATATGATCTCTTTTCTTAGTTCTTGTTAGTACACGAGCTGCAGCATTCTGGATCAACTGGAGAGATTTAAGAGACTTATTAGAGCAGCCTGAAAATAAGGAATTACAGTAATCTTCTAGAGGTAACGAATGCATGAACTAATTTCTCTGCATCGCTTTGAGACAGGATGTGCCTGATTTTTGAAATGTTACGTAGGTGAAAAAAGGCAGTTCGAGAAGTTAGTTTTATCTGAGAGTTAAAAGACAAATCCTGATCAAAGGTAACTCCAAGATTCTTTATGGTGCTGTTGGATGCCAGCACAATGCCATCTAGTGAAACTATAACATTAGATAACTGATTTCGGAGGTGTTCTGGGCCTAGTAGAATAACTTCAGTTTTGTCTGAGTTTAACATCAGGAAGTTGCAGGTCATCCAGGTTTTTATGTCCTTAAGACATGCTTGCAGTTTAGCAAGCTGATTGGTTTCATCTGGTTTGATCGATATATATAATTGAGTATCATCTGCATAACAATGAAAGTTTATAGAGTGTTTTCTGATAATATTGCCTAGAGGAAGCATATATAAGGTGAACAAGATTGGTCCAAGCACAGAACCTTGTGGAACTCCATAATTGACGTCGGTCTTCATCGAGGCTTCATCGTTTACATAAACAAACTGAGATCGATCCGATAAATAGGATCCAAACCAGTTCAGTGCGGTTCCTTTGATGCCAATATAATGTTCAAGTCTCTGCAACAGGATGTAGTGGTCTATAGTGTCGAACGCAGCACTAAGGTCTAACAGGACAACAACAGAGACTAGTCCTTTGTCTGATGCGATTAGAAGGTCATTAGTTATTTTTACCAGAGCTGTCTCTGTGCTATGATGCTTTCTAAATCCTGACTGAAAATCCTCAAATAAACTATTGTTACATAGAAAGTCACACAACTGATTTGCAACTGCTTTCTCAAGGATCTTAGAGAGAAAGGGAAGGTCAGAGATCGGTCTATAGTTAGCCAACACCTCTGGATAGAGAGTAGGCTTCTTAAGAAGAGGTTTAATGACAGCTACTTTGAAGGACTGTGGTACATGGCCTGTTAGTAAAGACAGGTTGATCATATCTAATAAAGACGTGCTAATTAATGGTAGCACTTCTTTAAACAGCCTAGTCGGTATAGGGTCTAAGAGACAGGTAGAAGGTTTAGACGTAGAAATTGTTGAAGTCAGTTTGTCAAGGTCGA